TAGACCACGCAGAACTTCCTCAAACACCAAGAAGACACCAGACAGATCTACACCAAGCCAACCAACAGCAAACGAGCCAGAACCGTACTGATTTGTTGCTATACGAAACTGATCTACGCCAGACCCAATCAAGAAAGTACCAACCAGATTTGAATGATATAACACAGCCTCAAGCTAACCAGTATCAAATGGATCTAGATCATGCGAGACAATCCCAAATACTGCAGCAGACAAGTCAAAAAGATCTTCGCCATAGAGATCAGAATCAAACAAGACAACTTCAAATTGATTTAAGCCACGAATTTCAAAATCAAATAACGCAAAATCAAATAGATTTAAGTCTCGCATTACAAAATGAAATGAGGCAGCACCAGAATGTAGAGCAACACGAACCACGAGGAAGACCTTACCTTGACACTAACCGACCATTCCCACATGGCGAAATGCGACCTCACCACCATCGTTATAACCAGAGCGGTTTTGATGCAGAAGACGGACAAATGCGACCTAAACACCTCAGAGGGTTTGTAGCAGAAAGCAGACAAATGCGACCTCCCCATAAAGGGTTTGAGGGAGAACACGGACGAATGAGACCTACGCACCACTTTGTCCCCCACAAAGGCTTTGAGGCAGAAGACGGACAAATGCGGCCTTCCCATAAAGGCTTTGAGGCAGAAGACGGACAAATGCGGCCTCCCCACCTGCCCCACAGAGGGTATGAAGCAGAGGACGGCTACCCACTTGCCGGCCAACACGAACCTCCCCAACCTATCGAGGCCGCCGACGGGTCCTTGTGGATCCGAATCCCCAGAGCCCCGAGATCCTGTCCACTGAGCAGCCCGGCTGTCCGGCGGGCTATGACGTCAGCGAGCCCGGACGTAACGTCACCGATACGTCAACACTTTCAGCAACATCTCAGAATGTCGTCACCGGCCCCAGGAAATATCTTCCCGAATTTTCGAGGTAATTACAGTCTAGAATGCACGTATCGAATAAACACACATAACGAACACTCACTTATATAGCGAACAAGCACATAACGAAACAAGCCCTTAACAAAACACACACATAACGAAACACACTCATAACAAAACACACTCATAACAAAACACACACATAATAACAAAACACACACATAACGAAAAACGCAAATAACAAAATATGCACAAAACAAATCACGCACATAACGAAACATGCACATAACAAAACACACATATAACGAAATACGCACTTAGCAAACAGATTTTCAGATCCATAAAAGTTTTTCAAGGCATTTTAGTCTTAACATTGTAAATATGTACATAGCAAAATTCGAATATAACAAAAAGGTACCTGAGTCGCCGTGACCCTCACGATGAGCGACAAACATATGAGTATGCGTGTGTGGAGGGGTGGGGGGAGACAGACAGACAGACAGACAGACAGACAGACAGACAGACAGACAGACAGACAGACAGACAGACAGACAAACAGAGACTGGGAGAGAGAGAGAGAGGAGAGAGAGACCGAGAGTAAACACACGAGAGAGAGAGAGAGAGAGAGAGAGAGAGAGAGAGAGAGAGAGACTCCCAGGGGGCATATTATACAGATATAACAATACAATAACATGGTATGGACAGCTCAGGAAAAGTTTTAAGTCAGCTTGGCAGTCACCTTGGTGATTTGTCGGTGATCCCGATTTTTTCTCCCGGAGATCCAGATTTTTAGATTTCATCGAGCGGCAGGTCT